TAGTAACCAAATTTACATTATATCACGTAAGGAAAAAAATAAATAATAAATATTTATTAAAGAGATAAATCAATAATATTTATCACTTAGATAATAAATAATAAATATTTACATGTAAAAAAATAAATAATAATATATTTAAAAATATAAGTCAGAATTTCAAATAAAGTAAAAGGAGGGATAACTCATTTTTTAAAAAAAGTTTCTAAATATTTAATATATTGATAAGTATCTCCATAAGAATAATCATACCATTTTAATTTTAAAAAAAATTGGCAAGTTTGTTAGAGAGATAAATCCGGTTAGACAAATGATTAATTTGTTAAGATATTATATTAATTGTATCATAAAAAATTGGTTAGATAATGTAGATTGTTTGGAATCTTTTCCTTTAAAGTAAAAGGTATGCTTATTCAAATTTATTTTTAAAATAAAAGTTATGATAAATATTTATTAATTCTCTTTTAAATATATTAATAAAATGAAAATATAAATCTAAATAAATTTTGAAACAACCAAAAAAATCGGATTGATTGGCATAAAAAAAGGAAGTGAAATCGGATTTGAATGCTAAAATCGGAACACCTTACTAAATTGAATGCTAAAAGATTCGATTTGATTGGTTACGTAATTGCATGGGCTGAAAAAATTCAAAAAAAAAAAATTTACGAATTGAAAAAGCAGGAAAGACACTATATTGAAGCGGGAAAACGAAATGATTTTTTTCGGACTGTTCAAATAATTTTTCTTCTCCGTATTATATAGTAATAGATTAAAATAATTTTAGCCAAAAATAAATTGCATTTCAAATAGTTTAACTCGATCAATCGATTCCATCCGTACGTTGTTATGAAAATAAATAAAATTATCTTAATATAAATAAAAACTAGAAATTAATGAAATATATCAGTAAATTTTTGTACACCACATTGGTTATTAAAATATAATAGTTTATAAATATGAAACATCTGAATACAAATAAAGAAAGGATTGCATAAGAAATAAAAACGATCACAGTGAAAATTTAATTATTTTTTCATCTCTTTTTAAGTTTATTTATATTCGAGCATTTTTATTATTTTTTCTTGAAAGTCATATCATCACATATTAAAATGAGCACAACATCGTCAGTCTTTAGAGTCTTAAATTATTAAATTAATTTTTTTCATGACCAAATCAATAGATGTTATCTTTTAAAAGTAGTATTGATATTTGACTCATCTTTCGAGACCTTAGACTTATAAAAACTAAAATCTTACATTAAACATTTTAACTTTTTCTATAATCAATACAATCTATCACTTAAGTTCCGAATCAATGGAAACCTATATTTAATGGCATAAATTGTTAAAATTAATTTATTTCATATACACCTATAGTTGCACGGACAACAATACCAATATTATTAAAAACGGGAGTAGTATATTAGCCATAGATTATGGTTGTTTTAGGCTTGTTTTGTCAATTAAATAAGTGATAGAAAACAAACGATTCCTCTGTCTTTGTTTGGCAAATTCGTCCAACAAGAAGGTCAACGGCATTGTCCAATGTTTGATAGTCATTTAGCAGCAGCATATACACTTTACGAACAATTTCATATGCACACTCTAATCGTTGCATGTGTACACCCGCGCACAATTATCTAAACTGGTCGGACAGTAGGAGTATAAGTAAGAAGATAGACATTTTTATATTCCTTTTTATTTTTCTTCTAAAACAGAATAAATAAATGTTGAAAAATCAGTTTTAAAAAATTGACTGTAGGAGTATGAGTAAGAAGATAGACATTTTTATATATCTCCTCTTTATTTCTTCTAAAATAGAAGAAATAAATGTTGAAAAACCTGTTTTAAATAGTTGAGTTTAATTCGATTTCGATTGATTTTTTAGTGGTTAATATTTACTTTGAGTTGAATTAAATTATGTAGAAAATTTACGTTTTTAGTACACACTCGTGGTATATCTATTTTCTCAAAACTGATTTTCCATAAGTGCGAAATAAATAATTAAAGTTAGTAATTAATGTTGTGGAGCAGACAGAGAAACGGTTGAACACATGCTATTTAACTGTCCTCGAGCCAGCAGATTATGGACTCTTGCACCAGTGTCATGGGATGGAATGAATCAACCTGTTCAAAAAACATTGGTGGTAGCAGGTCTGCGCTATTGAGAAATCTGAAACTTCAAGCCACAGGATCCAATTAACCACTTACTTGCTTTGGTGGTTATGGAAAACGCGCAACTTATGGATATTTCAGGCACACCAGATTCCAGTTCACTTGGTGCTGAGGATGGCTCATTCAGAGTGGCTGGAATTCACATCTATTCACTAGTTTTTGTTTTGTTCATGTATTTTGTATTAGTTCTCTTGTTTCTGTTTTTGGTTGTTAGTTAGGTTTCTTTATGTGGTTAGAAATGTTATGCTAGGCCTTATGGCAGTGGCTATGCTTTTTTAACTAGTTTTAGTTTCGGTGAGTTGGTTGGTTCGTTTTTCTAAGCCATCTTGTTGACGTGCTTCTCATTTTTAGTTTCAGGTTTTGATTGGGGGTCCCCTCCTTGTATTAGAACATTGTTCTCGTTTGAGTTATATTGTTACTCCTATCGTTTTGAAAAAAAAAAAAAAAGAACATGTAAAATGATGGTTGTGAGATTCGAAGGGTCAAGAGACTCATTCCACGTTGGACTCTCAAAAGAAGGGTTTTATTATAATAAAGAGTTAGAGAGATTACAACAACAACAAATTATACACCAAGCATTGGTGGGATATTTGGCCATGCGCGCGCTTGTTGGTCGATCTGCTGGCTAGCTCGGGCTCGGGCACAGGCACGAGCACAGGCCTTGGTCTTGGACCTTGGACCTTGGTCCTTGTTCCTTGGTCATTGGTCCTTGACAATTGGATTATGAGCTGGACTTGGGCAACCATGGACGGTCTGGGTCGGTTTTAGGCTTGGGCCTTGGGCCCAACCCCTATAATCTATTTGCTATAAATTTATTTGCAATCGAGTATTGACCCAAACCGTGAGAGAACTCTCCAAATACATTATAACTGGACATGATTGACTCTACCTGGCCATTTTGACGCCCTTTAGAGCATCAATCAGTGGGCAATTACCACTCTTAAGTGACAGCTGACTCATGGTATCCCATGCTTGAGCTAAAACTCTATAAATAGGAGTTCTTATGTTGCAGCAAACACACATAAGGAACACCTACATCTCTACTCCTTACTAAAAACCTCACGCATCATACATACAGTGCTTAGTTATCGACTATGTTATTGTTCGCTAGAGCTCTAAAGTCTGGTGTGCTATAGCTTCCGAGCAGTTTTTCATTGTATCTTTGGTGACAAGACACACAGACCCGTTAGCACTAAACGAGGCATATTTGTCTTTGGAAAAGAGATATACTCACCTCGGCTTTAATCTTTCCATTTCATATTGTAATTTGTTTGATTTGTTTTTAGTTCTTCTATATGAACCGAACACTTCAGTTAATAGGATTTCCGTGTATCAACCCTCAGATTGTAACAATCGCAAGACAAATATCTACTTAATGAACTGATGGAATCCATTGGATGATGGTTCAAACTCTTAGAAAGCTCAACAGCATCAACAACCGATCAACAATGTTGTTCGTGCGTCGATAAGAGTGCTTCTATGGCTTGTTGCTTTGCACAATCCAAAGATTCACCAAATGGATGTCATGATGGAATTTTTGAATGGTGAATTGAGAGAAGAAATTTACATGGAACAACCCAAAGGTTTTATATCACCTAGACAAGACAAAAATGTGCGCAAATTAATCAAATCCCAGTACGAACTGAAAGAAGCTCTGAAAATGTGCGCAAATTAATCAAATCCCTGCCCAAAATTGTGCGCAAATTAATAAAAAATCTGCGTCGATAAGTGTACATTTCATGGTCAAATGTCTAATTTCGACAACTTAATAAGGGTATAGTGGACATTTCACATTACCCTTTCACCACAAGTGGGTCCCACACATCTCCACTTCACCAACCATCCACGTCATATTTTATCTCTCCCCGTCTGCGGCAGAAACCATTCACCGACTGCCGTAATAAACCTTCACCGATGACCGCCATCAACCACTCATCCGACCAACTCCAATGTCAATCGCGGTTGTTGATGATAGCCTTCGTCATCGTCAATCCGCCGCCGTCACCGTCTTCCTCCAGCAGCCAAGTTATCTCTCGCAGCCCGAATGCCATCATCTACGTCGGTGTCTGGTTCGGCGTCCGAAACTTCCATCAGAGTCTTCCCTTCACATAATCACGATCGAATTTCTTCTGCTTGCCGCCACCGACATCGACCGACCGGTCAAGGATAGGGCTCCGCCCAAATCACCCTGCATTTACATATCAAAATCAAAATCGAAATTGATGAACCATTACGTCGATGAGATCTTAGCGGGGCAGAGAACGACTGGTCGGTTTACCGGCAGGAAGGACGAGGCTGATGTGGAAAGATGGGGCTGAGGTTTAGACGGGGCTGATTTGGGGCGCTTTATTGAAGAATTTGATATACTACAGGGACTTAATCAAAATTTATTAAATTTCAATATATTGCAAGTTAGGATTAAATTTATAATTTATCAAAAATTTATTAAAGTTACAATAATGTTAATTAAACGCATAATATGTAACGTGTATATACACATTAAAAAAGTACACTCTACAGATAATAACACAATACCAGTGATATACAAACTGCAAATTTCCATCGAAACTGAAATAACCGAAATGAATAATCTAACATTTATTTAGTATTTTAATATTTATATTTAATATTTTATAATATTTTAAGTTGAAAAAACATAATATATGAAATACAAAAAATTGATAATGTACATTCCAACAGACCCTAATGTGCAGTTCGTCTAGCATTATCGTGCACTCCATTGACCGGTATTTATTGTGTGCATTTCAACGAAAAAACTTTAATAATGTGTATTCCAATCAACATTATTTTGCATTTATCGAATTATTTATATAATAAAAATATATTTATTATTTTTAATATTTTATATTACACTATTTTTTTTTCTTTTATCATCGTCACGCTGCGTCATTGAACAGACTACGTTGTTATGTTAAAATGCATTATTGAACGTATTAACATGCATTTGAATTAACACTATTGTGTAGTATGTCAGTCCCTAACGTGCATCATGTTTAATAATATTGTGCATTCTGCAATGTGAGTATTTTTATGTGCAAGTCCAAAATAACACTGAATTAAAATAATTGTTTATTTGGTTGATTACCCAATTAACCAAAATATAAATATTATATATATTATAAAAATATTATTTAGTATTTTAATATTTGTATTTATATTGTTTTATTTTTAATGCATGATTGGTTCGCGAATTACACACTAATGTGCATTATCACAGTCATTAGTGTGTACTTCGGCTAGCAATAATGTGCATTATGTAGCATTATTTATTTAATTTGTGTATTCGTACGAAATACTGTGCCTATAATTTATCATCATTGTGCATATGTTAAATTCCTAATCAGTTAAATCTTTGACCAATTAATTATATTAAAATATTAAGTTTCCTGAAATTACATATCAGCCCTCATTTAATTTTCAAAATTAACCCCACAAAATTTGATTTTTTTTATTTTTTTTATTTTTGGTATCTCTCTCGATCGGAGCTCCGCAGTCGCCGCCCGTACGTCCTCATTCTCGTCGCAAACTCTTCGTCTTCGCTGTCGTCGACATCGCGACCACGATTTGTGAAGAAAGGGAGCTGACTGGGCCCTGATGTGTGAAGAAAGGGAAGACGGCGGCGGTGACGCGGCGGCAGAGCAGTGGAAACATGGCGCTGTCGTGTGTCTAGAAGGATTCTCCGGCGGATGTAAATAAAAGACGGCGACGGTTGCCCGCGTTTTCAGGCATCAGCGAGCGGCGACGGCCAACGACTCGATGGCTGCGGTGCCGCTCTGTGGGGTGGCCGGTGGTTGGCGTGCATTGATCGATCCCTGCGTGTGTGTCCCCGTTAGGTGTGTGTGTGTATGTGTGTGTGTGTGAGAGAGAGAGAGAGGGGGGTGACAGCTGGGTCTACGGGTTATGAGTTAGGACGATTAAATTATGGTGGGGCCCATTAATGTAGTGGATGGTCGGTGTGTGATTAAATGTCTATATTATCCTTAATGAAATAATAAGTATTGACTTTTTTTTTCGCCACTAGATCATCCGATCTAATGGTTGCGATCTATTCTTATTTCTTTCACTAAACATCTTTCTCACTTGAACTCAACCCTATATATATATACATATAGGGTCACGCTCCGGTGAGAATGGTACTCAATGAAAGAAATAAGAATGTATCTTAGCCATCCGATCGGATGATCCAACGGATAAAACAAAAACTTAATTTTTAAACACATTAAGGGCAGTATAGTGAATATATCACAACCTACCAACTCACCTGGGACCCACCACTCATCCTCCTCATTCACACACAATACACATACTACACATTCACGCACTGATGGAGACACATATACACACACAGCTACAGGCTCTGCCTACACCCGTCACCCGCCCACCCCTGACGGCCAGCCACCGGCTCCGTCGGACCTGTGCGCACAAATGGATTTTCTTCTACCAAAAGACGATCCCACCGCCCGCCACGGCCGGCGTCTGCCACCGCCGCCCTCCACCGCTGACCTCCGCCGCCGTAGTCATCATTATGTCCGACCTTCATCTGACAGAAAGTGGGAGAAAACGGGTGCGGGTCCACTATCATGAAGCACACCATGGGAAAACGGGGAAAGCCCATATGAAGCCCAAGTGGGGTTCCATCCCAAAATCAATTGGTGGAAGGAGGAGTAACCCATTAGTCTTATAAGATGGGTCTATTTTCCATGTATGAACGATGTGGGACAACTCACAAGTGATATTCTAACACGCCCACTCACTTGTGAGTCCTTCAAAAGCCCAACTGGCTGGGAAAAACGGGTACGTCATCGCACGGTCCCACATAGAACCGGGTATGTCATCGCACGGTCCCATATCGCACGGTCCCGCCGTCGACGTCCGCCGAGGCTCCAAAGGAAACATCCTAGCATCTCAAATGGAGATTCCATCAGAATTTAGAGAATTTGGGGATTTTTTTTTTCCCGAAACGATAGATAATTTTATAAATCAAAATGCACAAATGTGCGAATACACAGCAGCCAACAGCTGAAAAAGTGGGAGGACAGGTCAGAAGCCCGCCTAGAATCCCGACTAGCAACGCTAGAATAAAAAACACACTCACAACTAAACTAACCATCAACACTAACAATTAGAACAACTACAAGGACCCCAACAGGGTAATACCCGAGTGTCGGACCCCAACGGAGTAATAAGTTTGACACTCGGGCTCACAGGGGTCAACGACCCAAACCAAAAACACAAAACACAACCTAAACAAACACAATCAACATAAAACGGACAAAAACAAAAACTTAAACAATATACGAAGCCCTTCCCCAGCATAACGAACACGCCCGAACCAACAGAGATCGGTCAACTCCCTGCAAGATCCTAAGTCCAAGACTGCTTCCGAAACTGCCGAACCGCCTATACAGAAGCCGCACCCGAACCCCAAATCAAACCCGAAATTGGCCCGTCCCCAACCGAAGAAACCAAAGCCGGCTCCCAAAAACCGGGGCTGCCCGAGCTCTTCTAACACCACTAGCCGAACTCGGTAGCCCCAGCACCCCTCAGTCCCCAACACCAGAAGACCATGGAAGAGAAAACAACTTAGTCCCTCAGCTCCGACCGCCCCGACGCAGAACATCGAAGCCATCCGAGCTATGCCCCACCCACCGGCCCGCACCCCGACCAAGCACCACCACAGACACAGAACCAGAGCCGCGACATCGCAAACCACCGAACCCATAATCCCCAACTGGACCAGAGCGATGACAGCGTCGACAAAACCAGATCGACGACCTCACCAGCAGCACCCATCGGACCAGAACGACAACCTGAGCCCCGCTTGAACAAGCGAAGGACGGCTTGTGACTAACTTCTCCGATTCGGCCAAATGGAGCAAAATCAGAGGCAAACGACGATAGTGAGGACCAATCGGTGGAGGAAGACTGTTGGCCGGAGCCCCGCCATCGCCGGGGAAGGCCAAACGGAGGCGAAAGTGGAGGAACTGTTCCGATGAGATTTGGGAATTAGGTTTAGGGAAAACGGAGGCAAACTGCTAATTGCTAATTAACTATATAGAATTTGGGGATTGGGTTGGGGTTTTATTTTTGGAAATTTAATAATTTTCAAGGATCTAATTGCAATTACAAGAATTTGATTATATTTCAATTTAGTCCATGAACCAAATTTATAATTTTAAATGTTTAGAAAAAATATTATTTGTATATGATTTTTATACATATATATAAAAACAATAAACGAAAATGTGAAATAAAAACAATATAAAATAATAAATATTGAAATAATAAATATTTTTTATAATATAGGTAATAAATTATTTCGATTATTTAGGTTAATTAAGTTAAGCAATCGAATAAACAAATTATTCAGGATCGATTTTAGATTGGACTTTCACATAAAAAAAAAAAATCAATGGTGGAGAATGCACGCACATTAGTGACTATAAGACTGCACAATAGTGTACGACCAAATGTACATTAATGCATTCGAGAATGCACATTAGCACAACATTGTGCATAATCACATATATTAAAATTCTAGTTATTTTGGTTATGTTTCGGCCTTATTTATAAAATAAAAAATAAAAAAACTAAAAATAAAATAACAGAACCAATCGAACTATATAAAAAATAATATTTTCATATTTTATATATACGTATTATTCATTTTCATTAATTAATTAAAAAAATACAGATACTAAATATAGTTTTAGTATCTAAATAGTTTGATAAATGCAAAATAATGTTTATTGAAGTACACAATAAAAAAAATTTCTAAAATTGAAATGCACATAAAAAATATCGATCAATAGATTGTACGATTATTTTAAATCAAAGGCACCTTATTGTATGTGGGAATGCACATTATTAATTTCTGTTATTTTATATAGTATGACTTTTCAAACAAAAATGATATAAGAATTTAAATAAAAATATTAAAATACTAAAAATATTTTTATCATATGAATAATAATCATTTCAAGTATTTAGGGTAATTAGGTTAATTGATGGATTAAAACAATTATTTTAGTTTGGTATAGAACAAATCATTAACGAATGTCTGCTATGAAATTGCACAATAGTGTTATACGAGTTGCACATTAACGACTAACAGATTGCAGAATAGCGAACGAAATTGACAAAACTAAAAATTTTGGTTCTAAATTTTATATTTCGGTTCGATTATTGTTCTAATTTTTAAATCTCGGTTATTTCGGTACGATGTCGGCTTTATTTTTTAATATAATCGAAACAATTGAACTGACCGAACGATATGAAACTTATTATTATTATTATTATTATTATTATTATTATTATTATTATTATTATTATTATTATTATTATTATTATTATTTGTACTTTTATGTATTACAAGTGCACAATATTGTTATACAACTTGCACATTAATGACTATCAAATTGCACAATATGGACCGCAACGGGCCGAACTAAAATTTTCGGTTCGAAATTTTATATTGCAGTTCGATTATATATTTTTTACTTTTAAAATCACGATTATAATGTGCATTTATCACACAATATTTTTCACTTTCTTTATCCTTTTTGTTGATTAGTATATTTATTATAAATTATAAATTTGACCGAAGGATTATATTGAAGTCTAATAAAATTCATAAAATTGCAATTAAGCCCTTTAGACTTATCAAATTCTCAATGGCTATGCCCCTAATATTTTCAGATCTGTAAAAATAGATTCTTCATCCCCGTATCCATCATATTTTTGGACATCATTCATCACCATCTTCATCATTTATATGGACGACTCTGTATATCAATTGGCTACGAATATGACCGAGGATTCAATTAGGAGATCGATAATCCCGATCTATTTTCCCCATCTCCGGCTCCGAATGCTGCCGTTTTCCTGACGCCGCTTCAGCGCCTCTGACATACAATCCCGTCCGTCCTCGTCGGGATCTAGATTCGGTACCGTCAAGGTCGCCGGTCCCAGGATGAGAATTAGCATCAGAAATATAGATCGGACGCATTGTCCCTTACCGGCAAATATGTCGAGTTATCTAGACAGGGCCTGAGATGGCCAGGAGGAATCCAGTGGCGGACTCTGGCTGCGTTGGGGCTGGTAGTGGCAGCGTCTGTGACGCAGCAAAAGCAACAAGAACGAAAAGAACACGAACAATTTTACGAACGTATAAGTTTTATTTCATCAAATCTGCTTCTTCACAAATGCATCAGCCACCTAAATAAAGATAGAGTCCTACTACTTTAAAAATTGTATCTTGAATAACAAGAAGGGAATAAGGATACGGAAATAAATATTCACCTATTATAATTTAAAAGCAAAGGAAATAATAATAATGATAAAAATAGGTAATAATAAATTAAACTAACGACGCTAAACGATAATGCTGATCCAAGAATGCGAGGGCAATCTCGTCTTCATCATCCTCCCCAGGTTGAGAAGGATTCGCCCTCGAATCCCACTGAATCTCGTCTTCGTCGGCATTGTCTCCAAGAAAAGGCACCAAATGCTTAACGGCAAACACATCCGAAGCGAACATGCGAGGGCAGGCGGAGACGATAGGCATTAGGATTAATCTTCTCCACAACCTCAACGGCGCAACTTTTCCGGGCGGATAATTAATTATACTCATGAGCCTAGTCAAGATGGCCCAAACGAAATCCCCGACCTCATATTCCACATGATGACGACCACTATCCGTCTGTTGTTTATAAGCTGTCGTGCTTGCCTCCAAGTTGGCCCGGGTCGTCGCGTGAGTTTCCTTGAGCTCGGCCATAAAATCCTCCGCACGCCGGTCTAGCTGTGTCGACACCGGCAAGGCCACCAAGTCGGTCCGCCCACGCGGTTGAACCGCATAAACGATCTGAAAAGGGGACAGGCGCGTCGCACAACTAGCGGCCGAATTGTGGGCAAATTCGGCCTGGTTGAGGCGCTGATCCCAGCTCCGTAAATTTTCCCCAACTAAGCAACGTAAAAGATTGGCCAAGGAGCGGTTGACGACCTCCGTCTGGCCATCATTCTGAGGATGGTACGCTCTGCTAAAGTCCAAGCGTGTGTTCGCCTGTCGCCACAAGCTACACCAAAACAAACTCAAGAAGGGAGTGTCACGGTCCGACACAATAGATGACGGTAAACCACGCAGGCGATACACTTCTCGAAAGAACAATTGTGCAACATGAACGGCGTCCGTTGTGCGCTTGCACGGGATAAAGTGCACCATCTTCGAGAAACGGTCAACCACAACAAAAATAGAATCAAAGCCACGCTGTGTACGGGGCAGACCGGGGACAAAATCCATGCTGATGGCGCACCACGGCTGCGAAGGAATCGCAAATGACGATAAAGTCCCGCATTGGACGCGACCCCTTTAGACACTTGACAAATGCGACACCTGGCGACAAAGCGGGCGACATCCCGTCGCAACGACGGCCAAAAGTAATGCCGTTGGACCAACTCCACCGAACGATCGTGTCCCCACATGACCCGCCCCATTCAACTCAGCCACCAACTTCAGCCGGAGGCTACTATCCGGCACACATAAACGGACACCCCAAAAAATAAAACCATCTGTGAGCACATAATCATCGACACGGCCAGACTGAAGACGAACCCAAATAGGACCGAAAAAGGGAGCATGCTCATAAGTCTCGCTTAGCAAATCAAACCCCACCACCGCGATCCGCATGTCGGTTAACACTAGAGCTCGCTGACTAAAAGCATCGGCGACACAATTAGAAACACCAGATCGATGCTTTAACACAAAAGTGTATGCTAGAGATACGCCGTCCACAAGGCATGGCGAGAAGAAATGTTGTCCTGCGAGGCCAGATGTTGTAAAGCCTTGTGATCTGTGAACAAAATAAACTCCCAATGGAATAGATAATGACGCCAATAGCGAACAGACCCCACAACCGCATAGAACTCCACATCATAAGTACTGTAACGAAGACGAGGGCCGGATAACTTCTCGCTGAAAAATGCCACTAGGCGTGCATCCTGACTGAAAACCGCATCAATGCCCACCTTCGAAGCGTCGCAAGAGAGCTCAAAAGGGTCGCGAAAAATCCCGAAGAACCAAACCAGGAGTGGACGTGAGCTTGCTCTTAATAAGAGCAAAAGCATCTACAGCCTGAGGAGTCCACAGAAAGGTCTTCCACGTAAGACAGTCCGTAATCGGTGCCACAATCGAACTGAAATGAGCAATGAATCTCCGATAAAAGGATGCTAGTCCATGAAAATTTCTTGCCTCGGTAAACGATGTAGGAGTCGGCCAATCACGAATGGCTGCTATGTTACCCTCATCCACACGAACACCCTCAGCAGAGATAACGAAACCCAAAAACAACACGGAATCAACGAAAAAGACACACTTCCGAGGGGCAGCATAAAAGGACTCAGTCCGAAGAATAAGCAAAACAGCACGCAAATGCAATAGATGGTCCTCAAGAGTGCGACTATAGATAAGAATATCGTCGAAATAAACAACACACTTACCTATGAGGTCTCGGAGTGCTTGGTTCATAACGCGCATAAACGTACTGGGCGCGTTGGACAAGCCGAAAGGCATAACCAACCACTCGAATAAACCCTCCCGGATCTTAAAGGCCATTTTCCACTCATCACCCAGCCTAATTCGTATCTGATGGTAGCTGCTCCGGAGTTTCAACTTCGTGAAAATGGTGGCACCGTGGAGCTGATCCAACAAATCATCAAGGCGTGGAATGGGAAATCGATAATGGACGGTAATCTTATTGATCGCCCGACTATCTATGCACATGCGCCATGAACTGTCTTTCTTTGGAATGAGTAAGGCGGGCACCGCGCAGGGACTGAGACTACGTTGCACTACACCACGCTGTAACAGTTCCTCCACCTGGCGTCGTAACTCGTCGTGCTCAGATGGGCCCATCCGATAATGAGGGCGATTCGGAAGAGATGCTCCCGGTACTAAGTCAATCTGATGTTGAATGTCCCGAAGAGGAGGGTGACCGGATGGCAGATCCTCTGGAAAGACGTATGCAAATTCCTCGACTAATGGGTGAACAGCCGGCGGAGGTAGATGTTCGGATGCTAATTCAGTTCCCAGGAGTAAAAGAACGAAAGGGGACTTGCACATTTGGTCTGCGAACGTGGTCCGAGAGAGAAGTAAAACTGGCGAAGGATTCGGAGCAGCTAAAGAACGCAACGGTGACGGATAAAGAACAACCTTAACACCGTCAAACAAGAAACTATAGGTATTCAGACGACCGTCATGTGCCGCCGAGTGTCCCAGCAGAAGGTGACATACATCCATCGGCACTACATCGCACCACACCGAGTCGCGATACGGGACCCGATCGAAAGAGAAAGTAACACTCGATGATCAACTGTGATGGAGTTCCCACGTTGAATCCAAGCTAATGTGTACGGCTGTGGGTGTGGCTCGGTTTGGCAGGTTAAGCTTTTCCACCGCATCCTTGGCCACTACATTTTCACAGGAGCCCGAGTCGATGATATAGCGGCAAACCTTACCCCTGATAGTACACGTAGACTCAAAACTGTGATGTCGCTGAGCCGATTCAATAGAGTCTGCACGGGGTGCCAAACACGAACACCGGATAATGAGGACAGGCCCGACGTCCTCACTCCAATGCTCCTCGGTCACATGTGGGTCCTCGTTGAAAATCGGCGGAGAGTCATAGACCACGCTATCGCCCTGATCAAATGCATCCTCCGCAATAAGTGCCCGACCGCCACTATTCCTTGGTCATACCGATTGCCGGTGCCTAATTTCCCCGCAAGAAAAACACCGTAGGCCACCTGATGGACGAGAACCCGCCGAAGGAGTGGTCGCTAATGTTCCCGGCAATGGTGTTGTTCCACGGCTGGCGGTCACAGCCGACGACGACGCACCCATGCTGGTCGTAGATGGATGGAAAGACGCCGACCCCGAGCCTTGCGGACCTATACGAGCCGGAAAGAAAGTCGACGGTGTGCGTCAGGCCAGCTGTTGTTCGATCACTAGGGCCCGTTGATGGGCATCTGAAATCGATTCTGGCGAGAATAAAATGACCATGTCCTGGATCGGTAATTGAAGTCCGCCAATGTAACGAGAGATAAGTAGGTCCGACGTCTTACGCACATCCAACCTCGTGAGTAGACGATAGAAATTCTCAGTATATTCATTAACAAAACGTTGTCCTTGTCGTAGATTCTGGAATTGCATAAACATTGAACGCATATAGTTGTAAGGAAGAAACTCACGGTCCATATGCGATCATGTCGATCCAAGAATGCAAGGGCAATCTCGTCTTCATCAGTCTGTGCCGGCAGCGGGACGACGGGCAGAGGGCGGTGGGTGGTGGCCTGCGGATGGTGACTGTGTGAAGGAAGGTGTGTGTGGCACACTATTAATTCAAGGTGATCCGCCGGCGACGACGCAGGCGGAATGAAGGTGGTCGCCGGCGACACCGCCGTCGAAAGGAAGGTAGTCTCCGGCGGATCTGAATGTGTGACGCCGTGTGTGTTATTCCGTGCGTGCGTGTGTGTATTGAGAGTGTGTGTTTGTGTGTGAGAGAGGTGTGTATTTTGTTGTGATTTGTGGGGCCCACTTGGATAGTGGATGAATATTCAATGACCAGAATGTCCTTATTTAGTGGTCAAATTTTTATATTTGACCACAATATGTATATTTATTTACTATATTGTCATTGACAGGTTGACCACTATTTAATAAAATTGACTTGATCATGATCATTGATATGTTAGATCTAATGGTACTGATTTATTCTTATTTCTTTCACTATCTACTATTCTCATATGATCTCAACTCTTTATATATATATTGGAAAGTGAAGATCAAGTGAAATTGGCACAAATTTTAAAATTGATATATAAAAAGTAGAAACGTAAATACAAAATTTGCATAAAACTAAAAGTTATTTATATCAAAATTAATTCTAAAAGTTAATAAAAGAAAAAGAAAACGATAAGAAAAGGAACTGATATTATATTTTACCATTTTGCAAGGTTTATCCAAAATCCAACCAGCATGTTCAAGTTCGAGAAGAATCCAAAGCCCCAAGTGTTATTTTTTTTTTGCCTTAATTGTTTTTTAGTCCAACATGAAGCTAATAAAATTGCCTTTTTCTTCTTGTGTTTAGATTCCAAGAAAAGAACAAAAAAGTAAAAATAAAATTCTTATACAATAATTTGACCATAGCTGGCATCCATGATGAACTTGATGTTTCTTCGTAAGANTTATTGTCATAACAAATGCTGATGTAGACATCATAATCCTTATTTAATAAGGGGCGATTGAGTGAGTTACTACATTATCACATAATTTTTTAAGGAACCCTAGATTTGCCACATTACCTAACTGTGGGAATAAAACTTGTATTTTATTATATCACAATTAGAGCGGAAAAATGACTAGTGGTGCTCGATCTTTCAGTATCTATATCTATATTTATATCTATATATATATATATATATAAAGAGAAGCAAAAAAGTATTTAATTTTATTACTATGCATTAAATTTTATTATCCCTTCAAAAATTTCAACATTCAATTTCATTTTTAAGTTACAAAATAACTTGCTTGAATGTCATAAATTATGAGCATAAACCAATCAAGGGAGTTACAAAATTGTACTCAAATTTTAAGTCACACCCACTCATGAAAATGGCCGGATGTATTAGCATAAAGAAAATGGTTGTAACGACTCTTCCATAGCAATTATTTGATCAAAATCAATTTTGAGAATTATTTTCTTAATTCATATTTTTTCATGAATTAAATTATGATTTATTTTTTTATTTTTTTTATATTGTTATCTTTTTAAAGTATTCTTCTCTGTGCAAATGCACCGGTTGATTACTAGTATATATAATTGGTGGCAAGTTTCAATAAATTTTATTCCGTCAGCAATTAATAATAATATGAGTTCATTTAATAAAAATATGCATTCATTTAATAATAATATGTTCACAATTTAATAAAAATATTTAACTTTCAGTTACACAGTATATTTAGACATGTCTTATTTTGGATGGTGTCATTTCTGTAACGTCTTTTTTGTCGGAAAATACAAAATATTTTTATTTTTATTTTGATACTATATATTTTTTTGTAATACACAAATATATTTTTCACAACTAATTAAGAATGACTACAAATATCTCTATTTCTATTGCAGTCATAAAATAATAAAAAAATATTTTTTCAGATATTACAAAGATACATCAAATATTTTAAGAAATCAAATCCCAGAGTCACGAGTCGAAAGGGTTAACGATAATGATTTGTTGTGATGGAGATTCTGACGATAGGAAAACCAAGAATTTGTATATAAAGAAGTGTTTAATAATATTTAAATTCACTTTTTTAAATTATTTTTTTCTCATTTATTAAGTTATGATTTTTATTTTAATCTATATTTTAAATTACTTTCTCTTTTATTCTATCGTTTTCGTGCTAATGCACGGGGTAAAACTAGCATATATAATTGTTAGTAATTCATTAAATAAAAGTTCATAAATTTTACCGCATAAATTTTACTTCATAAATTCTATGTGACACTTATTAAATTATACCTACATGACACCTATGTGGCATTTTCCTTTCATTAATGATAAAATATTTTCTTGCACTTTTTTTAGTTAAATAAGACAAAAATCGTTATATTTTATATTAATTGAGTAATAATTATATTGTTTTACTGTATCATATAATAGTTATTATTAAAACTAATAATTATATTTAACACTAAATGATATATGAAAGTTACATAAGCATAAAAAATTATATTGTAAAAACTTTTTGTACAAGCTATTTGTTCTAAAATTAATATTATATTATTTTATCTTATTAAACGATTGTTTTTTTAAATAATTTGTTTTAACATCATTAAAATCGCATAAGCAATTGGTATAATAAATTTAATATTTTCAGCTAATTAATTGGTCATGATCTCTCAAATTAACAAAAACTACACTATTTATTACATTTATGCAATCAATATAGTGATTCATACGCAATCAAATCGTTGTGTACTATTTATTTTAACCAATTATCAAATTTTAAAACATAATATTATTATCTAACTTATAATTTTATCTAACTTATAATTTAATATCATATACATAAATTTAACTGATACTCTATGTTTAAAATATAATACCATTGTCTAACTGATAATTCTAGTATTACATGCATACAAATAACTTATAATACTTTATTTGCATCTATGCAAATGCACAGGGTCGGATACTAGTATATATAATTGTTAGCTAAACATTAAATTTTTTACCTTATAAATTTTACATATGTGGCAGCTTTCCTAATACAAAAACCGTTATAAATTATTATTATTATTATTATTATTATTATTATTGTTATTATTATTATTATTATTATTAAACTACCATATCACATTTAATGATAAAACATTTCTTTGCACTTTTTTTTATGTTAATTAAGATAAAAACCGTTAAATTTTGTATTAACTAAGTAATAATTATATTTTTTTATTGTACCATTGTAAACATCAAATTTTAATATTTTATTAACTAATGTCTATTAATTTTGAGACATGAATCCAAGATAAATAAGATATTTAATTAATAAAATAAATATTTTTTGTCCACCAAGTCAAATCTTAAGATAAGGAAAGAGATTATATTAAATCATGAAGGACCAATCAAATTGATGTCTACATCTATAAATAGAGCTCTCCTCAATGCCACAAATCACACCTCAAAAAATCTAAAACCTCATAAATCAAAGTCTCAATTCAAAGAGCTCTCAATAATACTCTTGAAGATCCAAAGGTGTTCTTGAAGATTCACAACATTCAAGTTAAAGATCTAAGAAGAGAAGAATCAAAGGGTTTCCATATAGAGATTGTACCCGCATATCGTTTGATCAATATATATTCAAGTTGTACAAAAGTTTTATGTTTTTCATAAAATTCATTGTTACAAATTTGGCACGCCCGGTAGGACTTTCTCTACCTCTCATCTCTTCTCTCCAAATCAAGTTCGAAGACTTTTGAAGATGCATGAAGACCTCTGTGAAGAAAATGTACACGGGGGCAACGAAGGATGATGTTTTCCTAAGTCATGAATCCGTCGAAAATCATCGTGTTCATCAAACATCAGAAGGGAGAAAACAAAAGTGGTATTTCATATTCCTCTCAAATTCCATAGGGGCAATTTATATGAAGAGTTCCATCAAATCCTCAAATTCAGATACTCCTTGATATGAGTCTAAACTATCTACATATTCAAATGCTCCTTGACAAGAGTCTAAACTATCTACAAATGTCAAAGGCTCCTTGACACGAGCATAAAATGTATACAAACTTGAAGGCTCCTTAACACGAGGATAAAATGTCTACAAATTTGAAGACTTCCTTGATACGAGTATAAACTATCTGTCAAATCAAATTAACACTCCTTGATACGAGTATAAACTATCTATAAATCAAATCAAATGAAGAACTCCTTGATAAGAGCATAAATTATCTACATATCAAGTCATATGAAGAACTCCTTGATACGAGTATAAATTGTCAACAAATCATGTCAAATGAAGAACTCCTTGATACGAGTATAAACTATCTGTCAAACCAAATCAAGACTCTTTGATACGAGTATAACCTATCTGTTAAACCAAATCAAGAACTCCTTGATACGTGTATAAACTATCTGTCAAATCACTTCAAGACTCCTTGATAGGAGTTTAAACTATCTACAAACCCAAGTTGAAGAACTCCTAGATAAGAGTTTAACTATCTGCATATCTCAACCAAATTCAAAACTTTGAGACTCATTCACTACCAAGACATTTTGTCCGTGAACAAGTCTCAAGGGGGACATTTGTAGACATCGAAATTTTAATATTTTATTAATTAATGTCTATTTATTATGGGACATAAATCCAAAATAAATAAGACATTTAATTAATAATAAAGTAAATATTTCTTCTCCACCAAATCAAATCTTAAGATAAGGAAAGAGATTATATCAAACCTTAGGATAAAGAAAGAGATTATATTAAAGGGTGTTACTAAATACCGCCCCCCTAAAAGACGTTTTTTCCCTTCTTAATTTTAAAATATTTTTTTTTCAGAAGCCTGCCGGCCGCTAATCGCGGCCGCAACTCGCTCGGCCGGCCGGCTAAGGCGGCCGCCTCTCGCCCAGCCGGCCTAAGGCCTCCGCCAAAGAAGACCGGCCTTATTTTTTTTATTAAATATTAAAGAAATCGATTAGTAATTATTAATGCAATGCAAGTTGCTACAACATTTATAGTCATTCCTTGCCTTTCATTGAACTTCCTCATTCAATGTGGGATAATTGCAAATCAAAGTTTTCAGTCTTCTAACCTTTTATAGCCACTTTTGACTTTTATTATTGTGTTTGTAATCGATGTGAGATTGTCCCAGGCTTCTAGCCTTTTATAGCTATTTTTTGCATTCTTTTTTGCTTTCAAAATCAATGTGCGACTAAATGATCCCTGCTTTCAAAACAGAAGAATGCCGCTAATTGGAGTAGTGGCAACTACTAAGAAATATGTATGTTAAGATGAATATCACATTATCAATAATTAAACTTATTATTATCTTAAATTGATAAATAATTAAATTTAACTAAACGAACATGAAATATGGAAAAACACTATGGGCTTTTACATAATGAAAAAAAAATTCACTTATCATTCCACTTTCATTTTTTTTTCTTTTCATTGCAATTAATTATATTTTATACTATCATAATTTATAACAATTATACTAATATAATATATTAAATTTATTAAAATATATTTTTATTAATCTATATTAATATATATTTATATATATGAATGTATAATAATATATATGAAATTATTAATATATAAATTAAATATATATTAATATAAATATAAACTAAAAAGCCGTCTTCTTCGATCCCCTTTCTCCCAACCCTAACCGCCGATCGTTCTCCTTCAATTCCGAGTCGATTGGCCTTCCTCAGCGGCAATTAAGCTCGAATCGGTGGTCATCCCTGGCCGTCTGGCCTTCGCCCGGTTTCTCGCGCCTCTCTCTTAAGATTGGGTCAGCCTTTATCTCTTAAGATTGGGTCGGTTTTTCTTTGGCCGATCTGCGGGCTCTTCTCTTCGGTTTCCTAGTGAGTGGTGACAGGAGGTGGGTTTCGAATCTCCACCGAGTTCTCTGTTTTCTTCCCTTTTCCTCTGTTGGTGGGCCTGGGGAGGACCATCGTTCTGCCCTCCAGCCAGTGGTGATGGCAGAGGCGGGGCGGTGGTGGGCGGAGGATTGCGGCGGATTCGGTCGGGTGGATGGTGCCTCGGTTGTTCGACGACGATGGTGTCGGACGGCCGAAGCTCCGCTGTGCTTCCATCCTTTTTCCCCGTTCCTTTGATGTTGGGTCCGGGGTTGACCATTGCTCTAACCTCCGGCCAGTGGTGATGGCAGAGGTGGGGCAGTGGTGGGTGGTGGTGTGCAGTGGTTTCGGGTGGTCGGTGATGTGGTTGCGGCCTCGGCATCTTTGTGGTTCGGGGGTTTACCGGGTTTGGTTGGACTCGCTAGTGGTGTTAGTGGGCTCGATCACGTGGTTGTCCTGAAGCATTTTTGATGTTGAGGTTATGGCTCGAGTTTGATTTCGGATGTTGTCCTGGGGCTTGGGTTTTGACTTCGTTAGGCCACCAAGTTGGTGTTTGGGCAGTTTCGGGTCGGCTCTCTTTGGCTGTGGGACTCTCTCTGGATTGACTCGGTATCCATCGGCTCAGCTTGGTTTCGCTGCTTAGGAAGGGCTTATTTAGTGTGCTTAGTGTTTGTTTGTTGTTTTCTGTGATTTTTGTTCGTTAGTTGGTCTGTGTGTTTGTTTGTCTTTGTTTGGATATGAATACAGGCTAGGCATTGTGCAGTGGCTCTGTTATTTATGTTCCTTTATTTTCGGTTGTGGAGTTCTCTAGGCCGCCATGTGCGTGTCCTCTCAGTTTTCTCTTCATGTTCTTTTATTAGGCGTGTTTTTGGTTTGGGCCGTTGGCCCCTGTCTCATTACCCTGTTGGGGTCTTAGATTACCCCGTTGGGGTCTTGTAATTTGTTCTCTTTGCACTTTTGTGCTTTTTATAGTACATCTATCGTTCCGGCAAAAAAAAAAA